ATGTTCTTCTTATAGAGACTCCAGTATATCAGTCATTTCACAGACCAAGAAAAAGAACTTCGAAATTAGCTTTATTATTTAATAGCCAGAAGAAAAATGGTAGTCAAATTAACATTTCTTAATAATCAAATTTAAAAAGGTAGTATGTCTTACTTTGTCTAGTATCAATAAGAGTCTGTCATAGCAACTGCAGGTCTACAGCTTGCAGGTTGCTTGGATTGTTGTGGTGCTGTGAGTATTTCAAGCATGGTAAGACCAGGCAAGCTATGAACCACCAACATCCCCATCTTTTGCTTCACATAATTTCTTTTTTTTTTTTTTTTTTAACTCACTACATGTACAGTCAAAATAGATCTCCTTAGGATTTGTTTACTTATTGCCACTTAGCCCGCTGGTGATTGTAGAATAAAGTGATTTTTAAGAGGCTTTACTAGATGCCTAATTCATTTTTTCTGATTACCTCAAGCTACTCTGTATTATCATCCTCAAGCATTTGTCTGATCCATGCTGGAAGAGCTCTAGCACTGAGGAAACTAATTACTTTCTATGGTAAAGCTAAAACTCTCTAAACTAATACTAAACAAAAAATTTTCTGTGTTCTGGGCAATTCCAAACAGGAAAAAAAAAATCAAATTGTCTAAAATCCAGTATGTTTTTTATCTTAGCATTGAATTAAATCTTTAATGTTCTAGCTTTGATGTTTTATTAAATCTTTAGTGTTTTATTGGTTATAACATTATTGAGTTACTATTAGTCTTCAAAAACTTTTTCAACATAGTAACATAGTAACACATAAGTACTTGTTTATAGTTTGCATTTTCTATTTAAAAAGTCTTCAATGTTAAATTTCTCTTGTATGAATTCCACCTAGGAACCACTGCAAGAATGGCATTTGTTCTGTAAATGATGAACAATTAAAGAAGAAGAAAAGGATAATTCTTGGCACAGAAAACGGATAACATGCAATCTTCCTGTGAAGTTTCCATATTTTTTTTTCTTTTTTTGTGGTTTGCTAATATATTTTGTAAAAATTTACTGTTAATTGAAACATATTGATTGTACATATTTATGAGGTACAAAGTTATATTTCAATATATATACACAATGAGTAGCAATCAAATCAGTGTAGTTAGCAAATTCATCATTACAATAATTTATAATTTCTTGTGATGAGAACATTTAACCTCTTCTCTTTAGCCATTTGAGAACCTATGATAAATTATTGTTTATTATAGTTGCCTAGTAGTATTATACACCACTAGAATCGTTTTTCCTATATAGCTGTAATTTTGTGTCAATTAGCCAACCTCTCACTGTCCATCTTTCTTCTCCCACTCTTTAGTAACCACAGTTCTACTCTCTACTTCTAAAAGTTTAACTTCTTTTTAGCTCTCATATATGAGTGAGAACATGCAGTATCTATCTTTCTGTCCCTGACTTATTTCACTTAATATAATGTCTTCCAGCCTTATCCATGTTGCCACAAATGATCAGATTTCATTCTTTTTCATGGCTGAGTAGAATTCCATTGTGTATGTCTACCACATCTTCTTTTTCCATTTATCTGTTGACAGATACCTAGATTTCCATATGCTGGCTATTGTAAATAGTGCTGCAATACAGAAATTTCCACCTTTTGGTTTAGGTTTTACACTCCAGGAAAAATCAAGGCAAGTTTTCTGCATGGCAATCACTGAAAGATTTGAAAATGATTATTATGCATGATTGACCCTCTGTCTTCTTTTTTCCCATGTCTTTAAGCGCCTATATACTGTTTTCTAGGCAAACCCAATCATTAGTAAACCATTACCTCCATTTAGGTTTCTTTTCTCTACATGGCTTTAGCTCTTTCAAGATTTCTTCAAATTCAATTACTTTGAATCTCTTCAATAAAACAATCAATTTGAAAAGCTCTCTAGTTTGTCAATACATACTGTAAATGTTACCCAGAGCTGAGCACATATTACATGAATTGTTTAATGATTGAGAAAAAAAATAAGACCTGTCATTTCTCATTTTGAAAACTATACTACTGATGAAAGAAGAGTGATTTAGATATGTTTGTCATCTACATAACATTCCTGATTCGTACTTTATTTCCTCTCAAATACAATTTACTGGTTGATCTCATAGTAAATAGTTGCAAAAAATTAGTTTATTATCCACAGCTATATATATATATAAATAAATAAATATATGTGTGTGTGTGTGTGTGTATATATATATATGTATATATATGTGTATATATATATATATATGTATATATATATATAAAATTTTAATATTTCAAATGTGTCTCTCATTCTACCGATGGGTAGATATCAGTGGTTGCACAAACATTTGTCCATATTTAAGTGACTGAGACCAAAAAACAACTATTTATAGATATAAAATTTTAATATTTCAAATGTGTCTCTCATTCTACCGATGGGTAGATATCAGTGGTTCCACAAACATTTGTCCATATTTAAGTGACTGAGACCAAAAAACAACTATTTATATTAAAGCTCCTTAATAGTTTCACCACATTCTAGTTTCAAATCTCATGCAGTAATTTCTTGGCTGCTTTTTCCCTGAGTAAATCATATTTTACACTTTAAGATGTAAAACATTTCTAAATGAGATGAGCACTGCCTCTAGTAATTAAATAAAATGAAATTAATCTTTATAAATACTCGTTTATTTCATAAAAATACAAAAATATAAATATACATTTATAAAAATATGAATGAATTAACACGAAGACATTCTTCAGCTAAATAAATATGGCAGTAATAATCATTCCTATTTCATTAGGGATATATCTTTTCCATATTAATTTACAAAGCAATTGCACAATGTTTAATTTAATAGTAAAGGTGACTGAAAGTCAGTTAAGAAAACATTTATAAAGTTCTTATACCTAAGAAAAGGCACAAAAAGCCTTTTAAGTATTTTTATTGATTATTGATGTGATATATTTTCCTTCCGAGATTGTTAGGCAAATAGGGTGAACTGGTTATTATTACTTTTTTTAAATCTATATCATTTGTATTCATTCACAGAAACTTACTGATTAAGCAAACCTTGACTAAGAAAACACCTACGTATTGTTTGTGATTTCGATTTTTGAAAAATTTCCTCCATGGAGGAGAATGCAGGCCACTCAATCTAGTAACAAAGACAGTATTTCCACTAATAGTGATCCAGTCATCCAATACTCTTAGTCTCGGTCACTGTCATCACCCCCATACATGTCAGCAAGTTTTTTAAAACGAGGCCCCCAGTCACTGAGGTAATCATAATCTTGGTTACAGTCAGCTGTGAGAGATTCTAAAGAACTGAGCGAATCTGCCACGGAATCATCCCCTTCGTAGGCATATGTTGCCAGTGAATCATAAGGAGGTGCGCTTGGATCTGAGTCATTTTCTTTTAATCTTCGATGGATAAAATCTTGTACATCAATATTTTCCCACAGAGGCACAGTTCTCCTTATCTGAAAAATAGTTTCTGGCATTACATCTCTTCTAAGTTTACTGTCTTCTCTTGCTTCTGGATTCCTTAATGTGCCGATGTCAAAAGCTTGGGTATCTTCTTCCCCACCGCCTTCGTCATTGTAGGTCACAATGTTATCCCGAACATCATCTTTAGATATTATCAGAGGTTCCTTTTTTCGTTGCCTCTTCAATGCTGTAAACAGCACAACTAAAACTATCAATAAAAAAATGAGAACTCGTCAGATTCTATGATTCAGGATTAAATTAAATATAGTAAACTTCAGAGTGTGAAGTCTGTAGTGCAAGAGATACTAAGATTGATTGGTAAAGTGTAATTGTTCTACAAATACAGAGTGCCTTGGGCCAATGATTGGATGTATTGTATTGATAAAGAAGCAGATATTACAGTGTCATTAATTTACTTTAAAGACTCACTCTTCTGTGAGCTTCTGGCATTGAAGAAGCTTTGTTCAATTATACTTATTGCATTTAGCCAACTGCAATTACCTGACACCTCACTCTTCCAAAATGCACATTTGTTACAAAATACAAACATACTAGAGCTCCAGTTGTTATTATCCCAAGAGATATTGTGCACCAATTGAATATTTTTTTAATGACTCAAGGGAATATATGCAAAACATTACTGATATATAAATGCATATATACTTAAATGTACATTATGTGAGTACACATAGCTACTGATATCAATCCTTCTCATATCTCGTGTCTGTTCAGATAAATTCCTTTACTAGCTTGGTTTACTGTCAAAAAAAAAAAATATACTTAAATGTACATTATGTGAGTACACATAGCTACTGATATCAATCCTTCTCATATCTTGTGTCTGTTCAGATAAATTCCTTTACTAGCTTGGTTTACTGTCAAAAAAAAAAACACAACACTGAAATATAACTCTAAAAGCTACGATATAAAATTATATATATATAAAAAAACACTGAAATATAACTCTAAAAGCTACGATATAAAATTATATATATATAAAAAAACACTGAAATATAACTTTAAAAGCTACAATATAAAATTCAAACTGAAACTAATCTCTAACTTGTACTCTTCTTACAAGACAACTCAGATATTGTATTGTTAATGAGGACTTCCTTGGCTTATACAGTGGCATCCAAGCTTTTGGGTTGAAATGTTAATTGTATTCTCTCTACTCGGTGTATGGTTTTATTGTTTACCTGTCTATGTTATAAAAGGTAACTGTGAACTTCCTCACTTATGGTATACTTTCTTATTTATTGTTATTGTGCTGGAAATTAAATTGTTATGCATATATTTGACAATGAACCTTTTTCTAATAAATACATGTTACAAGTTACAAAATACATTTGTAAAAAGATAGGAGAAAACACATGACTTCCAAAATATAAATTTTCCATTAAAAAGAGACCAACTCTATAATTTTATATGTAAGAAAAGTAAGACATAAATCAAGAAAATTTATCCAAAACACACTTAAACATTACTAGGGAGAAATAAAAACTAGGTTTTCTTACCTTAGAGCAGTTAAATGTTTTGCCAATATTATTTATGTTTCTTTGAAAATAAGAAATGTTGGCTCATCAACTATCATTTCTTTTCTCAAACTTTATATTAAGATTACACAAAGCAAATTCATTCACATTGACTACACTTCAGTATGACCATTGAAGTCCCTATGAATACACTAAATGCTACTTTCATATTGGCCAGCACACTTTTCTCAGCTCTTCCTATTGATAGAAATAATTTTTAAAACATATCATTAGAAGCATCTTCATTTAACCTCCACAGAGGAGGTTTTGGATGCTGAGTTATATTCAGAATCATTTTGGAGACATTTTAAAGCTGCAGTTTCCCCAAGCAAAGGATAAACATAAGATTAACCAAGTCCTACTTAGATCTGACATCCACGAAGCTGAAGCCATATATTACAAAAAGAGTGTTTTTTCTAAATTTAATGCTGAATGAATTACTTTACAAGTCCTCTACTCTTTATAAGTAGCAACTATATAGTAAAGTTATTTTAAGAGTTTCTCAGCTAATAAATATTTACTAATTCCCACAAATAAAACTTAGAACATGTTCTGAGATTTTTCTCTTCTGCCAGGTCAAAATTATCTCCTTCATTTCCCAGAATGAGATTATTTATCTAGGGTATGTGAATACAATTCAAATAGGCTAGAATAAGGGATAGAAAAAAAAGTGTATCATTATTTTCACTGCTCTTTAATTCAAATTTCCTATTTTTTTCCATTATGAATGCCAGCATAAACTATAGTGGCATATTATATTATATTATATTATATTATATTATATTATATTATATATTATTATATTATATTATATTATATTATATTATATTATATTATATTATATTATATTATATTATATTATATTATATTATATTATATTATATTATATTATATTATATTATATTATATTATATTATATTATATTATATTATATTATATTATATTATATTATATTATATTATATTATATTATATTATATTATATTATATTATATTATATTATATTATATTATATTATATTATATTATATTATATTATATTATATTATATTATATTATATTATATTATATTATATTATATTATATATTATATTATATTATATTAATATGTATGACTATTAAACTGATAGAAATCATAGATATTTTATATTGCATTACAGCTATGACAGATATCCCAAATCATCTTGAAACCTGCACTAGAACATGGCATGTATGATTTAATAAGCAAGAACATTTTGCTTTTTGTTTTTTGTTCAATTCGGATGAATATATACCCTTTTAGTTTGATGTATTTTATTCCTATACATTTAAGTTATTATTCTGAGGCCTGTTAGCCTCATCAGACCACCAAAATTACCTCCTTTTTAAACCAAAATGTTTAAAAACCCTAACCTAGGTTTTAATTTCCCAATTTCCCTTGTAGCATAGATATAAACTAGAACTGCATTTCTTCAAAATGGATCAAGGTAGGTCTAAAATACTATTGATCATGCTATTGTACTATCTTGCAAAGAGCAGACTCTCTTAACTATAGAAATGTGGTAACTATGTCCAGCCATTATTATAAAGACTCGTAGTAATAGCAAGAATGCTTACCTTGATAGTAAACCCTCTGAATTACTACCAATTTTATCTAAAATAATGCAAAATCACTCTATATTTAGGCATTACTTTAGAGATATCATCTACAAAACAAAAAATATGTCTTTTTCAAAAACTTATGCCAAGAATTTTTTTAATGGTTCTGTCTAATGTAACTTATTTAATTAAGAATGAGAAATGTCCATCAAGTATTAGTTTTCAGAGCATCTAGATTCATCATTGTTTGATTCCTGGCCACTGTAGCATTCAACCTTAAAGAAAAATTTGGTCACTCCAATAATTATCCTCTTTTGCTGTTGTAAAGCACCTCTTTTATTATTAATTGGTTGCTAATCCGCTAGCTGCACTACAAAATAATTTCTCAAAGAAAGGGAACAAAAAAGATTCATTTTATAAAAATACAAGGGCTTAGCAAAACCACTCCTATACATTAAAATTACTATGAATATACTTTGGAAAAATAAATATTATATAGTATCGGAAAAAAAGATCTTAAAGCTATGAGCACCATTACTACAATTATGCTGCATATTTTATTCATATTGCTTGCTTTGCATTTCATGGTATTTTTAAAGAAAGATATGCAAATAAATGCTTCTAAAGTTTTTTGAAATCAATGAGGAAGCTGCAAAGTTGGAATGCCTCTTAGTTGAACTCAATGTGAGTCAGAAGTGTGCCATAACAGAAGATGGAACAGCAAACAACAGGTTGGGAAGAAAAATTTCATTGAGCATTTTATAGTGCAAAAAACACTAAGCTACACACTGGGGTGCCTGTTTTCTAGTCCTGGATCTGCCATCTGTGTGATTTGAAATTGGAGTCACTTAATTACCCCTACTTTCCACTTTCATGTCTACAAAAATAAACAGTTCCACCATATCCAGGTATCATAGTCCAACATTCTGTGGTGAACAATTATTAGAATTTCACAGTAGTTTAGTTCATCCATGTCTTGAGTTATTGTCTACCTTCTGTAGCAATCCAAACCTGCATACTCACTACTCATACCACTTTAATTTGATATTAACTATAAATTCATTCATTTTATTGACAAAGAGACATGTAAACTTAAGTTTCATTATACAATGCTTCTGAAAGTGAGTGATTATTAATACAAACAGTGAACTTTTTCTCCTTAGAAAATTGAAGCATAAGAAAAAAATATGTAATATCTAATATTCTTGCTCAACCTCTTGATCCTAAATAGCAATACAAATCTAATTTTTAGTAATATTTAAAACATAAAAAACATTGAGTCTTTGGTTACATGACTTCAGTTCTTGAAATGATTAGATGGGACTTGTTTAAGCATATTTTAAGTGAGTTTACATATCAGTAGCTTGAAATAAGTTACATTTTATTTTTAACTTTGATTCTAATTAGCTAGCAACAGTATATATTAAAGTAATTACAATTAGCTAATATTAATTATACTTAATTATTATCAAATATTAACATGTAATATATAGATAACTCACATGAGTCAACAAAAGACAAATATACTGATAGATAAATAACTAAAGAATATCTATAGGCTATTGTAGGTTGACTTGTGTTCCCTACAAAGATATGTTTGAGTCTTAAATGCCTAGTACCTATGAATGTGACTTTATTTGGAAATAGATTTTTTGCAGATGTAATCAGGTTAAAATGAGATGGTATGGGATTAGGGAGGGTTCTAACCCAATCACTGAAGTCTTCATTAAAAAAGGCAAATTTGGAAACAGAAAGAGACTTAGTAAGAATGCCATGCAATGATGTAGGCAGAGATTGGACTAATTGGGGTCCTCAAGCCAAGGAATGATGGCCAGGGATTTCCAGCAGTAGCAAGTAGGTTGGAAGTGGCAAGGAAGCAGCCTCTCCTAAGACCTTCAGAGAGAGCATAGTCCTGATGACACATTCATTTTGGGCTTCCAGCCTCCAGAACTGTGAGAGAAAATTTTTCTGTTGTTTTAAGTCATCTAATTTGTGACAATTTGTTACGGCACTCCTGAGCAACTAATACATCTGTGAAGATTTAAAAAAAAAAAAAAAAAAAGCCACATAAAGGCCACAGTTAGAAAAAAAAAAAAAAAAAAATCAACCTCAATGAGTTTAAAGTGATTCACAATAAAACTATTATGAGATATTTACATATGTAGACATTTAAAATCTAGAGTTGCCAAGTAAATGGGTAATCACACATATTTGGTGAAAATATCACTTAGTTTATGGCATATTTGGAGAATTATTTTGTAGCATCTATTAGTATTTATAGATAAAATTGAATTAGCCCCACTTTAAGGATTATATCAAAAGATAATAATACCAGGTAGTAAACAAGTATTATGAACTGTATTTCTCATTATAGTGCTGTCTGTTAAAATAATATCTTGTTGATAAATCAAATGTCCATTAATAGGGCAGTAGTTGAATTAGTTAATGAATGTATAGCTATGCTATAAACATTAAGCATAAATTAAATATAATCATTTACTAAACTGAGAATATGTCCATTACAAAGTAAAAAAGAAAAACAATTCTTAATCCAGATAACTATGTAATGATTCTATGTTAGAAAAAAGAGAATAAAAACCTCATTTGATTTCTTTGTATGTGGGTGAATGTAGTATGTATCTCTGTCTTAACCAGCTGAATGTCATAACAAAATACCACAGACCGGGTGGCTTAAACAGCAGAAATAAATGTATTTTCTCACAGTGTTGAAGGTAGGAAGTTCAAGGTCAAGGTGTCAGCATGGTCAGCTTGGTGAGGGCTCTCTTTCTGGCTTTCAAATAGCTGCCTTCTCTTCGAGTCCTCTCATGGTCTTTCCTGTGCTTGTGAGCTCAAGGGGAGAGAGAAAGCATGTGCTCTCTGGTATCACTTCTTATAAGGACACCAACCCTATGGGATCATGTCCCCACCCCCCCAAGACCTTACTTAACCTTAATAACTTCCTCAGAGACTCCATCTCCAAATAGTGGTTAGGACTTCAGCATATGAATTTGGGGGGATACAAATATTCAGTCTCTAATAAACTTTATTAGAATAGTAGAAACACTGTATTTCACTTTATTTTCTACGCTTAAAAAGAATGGTGAAATTATAGATGATTCTTAACTTCTGCCTACTTTTTCCTTAAAGAAACATCTAAACTGGTTAAATTAAATTCAGTAAAATTTGTACAGCTGCTGTTGGAAAATGCTTAATTATTTTTCAAAAATTAACATATTCTGTATTTGTTTAAAATTATACATATTTGAAATATTAATTAGTAAAGGGACTGTTTTACACACAAATCATTTTTTATTTTAATAATATGAAAATTTAAAACTTACAAATAAAATAGATCATATCAAACCAAAGTCTCCTGACTGGGCAATTAAAAGTGGAAAAATTTACCAATGAAACAATTATTATGACTCCCTCTGTGTAACTTAGAACAATTTTATTTTTATATTTCATATTTTATGTATGTTCACGTTTTAGTGAATATAATTTAGCATCAACTTAATTATGAATCCAGATAAGAGATTTTTATATGTGTGATATGAATATATATATATATATATATATACCTAGTATAAAAATTAAAGCATATGTTATAAATTTTTCTATTATATCATAGATTCCATAATAACAGCAGTTCTAAAAATTATCTTTTTAAGAATCCTGAAAGTTCTCCAGTAAGAGGAGATAAATAGGTGAAAAGAAGTATTGACAATAGTTTGCACACACACACACAAAAAAATACAAATAAATAAGTCAAAGCAATGTCATTTATCTTTGAAAAGAGAAAAAAAATATTTTAACAGTTTATAATAATTTTATTTACCTGCCCAGGTTTTGCATTTTCACATACAAATGTTTCATAGTACATGGCAAATTCTGGAGCATGGTCATTTATATCTAGAATTCTGATGAAGACAGGAATGTGACTACTTTGTTTTGGATTATCTGCAACGAGAACATGTGTAAGATGTGCCATTTACAGAGAAGCAGTGAAACTCCTCGCCCCATTTGTAACTTAGCAACAGA